ATTTTGTCTTTCTTTTTCAAAATATCGTACACTGTAGCTCGTTCAATATCATAGAATCTAGATATCGCAGTCGGAGTTTCATCATACTCGCATCTCTTAATGATATCCCATTTTTGTTTTAGAGTCAACGTTTTGTGCTTTCATTTTGGACTTGTGCTCGCGAACTGAATTTTCTAAACGAATTAAGAAGAAGTATGGCACTACGTATTACTCTATCTAAAAACCTTACTGGACCGAACTGCTCAAGGAAAACACACGAAATGAAGCATCCGGTAAGAATGAGATTCATGTCGCGACAGGTTTCAGTACAATTTCAAATACAGTTCCTGTACAATGAAATTGTAAATGTAAAGAGAATAGTAAAAACAGCTAGTCGACAGTACCGCCCACTGGACCCGTTTTTTATAGTACGCACATATGCACGCCTCCTTCTAACCCTACATGCATAAGGCAACATGTGAACACTCAAATTTGTTGGAATTAAGACTCTCTCAACCGCGCAATTTCATCCTTTTGAGCGATTATTGTAAGTGAGAAACAAATTGATAAAAATAGGTATTCCTCTTGTTTATTTTTTATTTTACAATTTGTATTTGGATAACAATTTTATTTGATATGCTATATTGTTACCAACGCATGAACATAAACAACAGCTACAAATACTGGGCACTCAAAAATATCCCAAAGCTTTTTATTGCCGCTGGTATATCGGTGTATGGTATCGACCTATGGAGGAGCAGTATAGCAAAAGATGGGCACTTGCGTCTCTGTATCACTCACTCCACAGATTCCTACGACGAGCGTGTTCGGTTGAACAACCAAAATATAGAATCACCATAAATTTAGTTTTCTTTCTATTGATCTTCAGTCCAAATCGGCTGCCAGTTGTATTAACTCTATGTAGTATCATCTGTAAATCTTCGATGTTATCGGCCAGTATAATAGTATCATCTGCATATCGAAAATTACTTATTGGTACGCCATTAATCTTGATGCCCTCATTGTACTCTTCTAGTGCCTCTAGAAATATTTGTTCCGTGTACAGGTTGAAAAGCAGTGGCGAAAGAATACAGCCCTGTCTTACCCCTCTAGAAATGGTTATGTTTTCACTCACCATATGTCCATTCTTCATGTGGGCTGTTTGATTCCAATATAGATTTTTTATAATCTGGATGTCCTTAGTGTCAAGTCCTGAAAGACGTAATAGTTCTATGAGTTTGTCATGTTTGATAGTATCGAATGCTTTCTCATAGTCGATAAAACAGACGTAAACATCTTTCTGTTGATCCAGGCATTTTTGAATCAAAACTTGTATTGCAAAGAGGGGTTCTCGAGTTCCAAAACCGCATCTAAAACCGAACTGTGTTTTACTTATGCTGTGTTCTAATTTTGCTCGTATTCTGGAATGGATAATACGCAAAAATACTTTAAGGGTGTGGCTCATTAAACTTATAAGGCGATATTCACTACACGTCTTAGAATTATATTTCTTGGGAAGGGGCACAAATGTAGATTTCAACCAGTCCGATGGAATTTGACCAGTATCGTATATCTTATTAAACAGTTCCAATACTACATTCAGGTTGTTCTCGTTAAAAACTTTTAAGAATTCGACTGGTATTTCATCGCATCCTGTTGCTTTCCCATCTTTCGTTTGATCTATAGCTTTTATCACCTCACTTTTCAATATTTTTGGTCCATTCAGATCAAGAGTGTTCGTAGAAATATGACGATAATCCGTAAACAAATCTTTTATGTAGTTGCCCAAGTCTGTAACTGTTCTTCTTTATCTACAATAAGTTTATTGTTCTCGTCTATTAACCTACCAAACTGTTTTTTCTTGTAAGTATAAGTAAACTCCTTGATTTTTTTATGCATGTTAAAACTATCGTGTCTTCGTTCTAGCTCTTCTATCTCTTGACATTTTTCTTGCAACCATTTCTCTTTGGATTCTTTTATCTTTCTGCTGACAGTTCTATCCAGTTCTTTATATTGTTCGGGATTATTCTTATTTTCCCTCCTTCTGTCCATAAGGTGTAATATTTCATCTGTCATCCACTCGTTCTTCTTCTTCCGCTCGGAGTCACCAATTACTTCTTTTGCACTGTTGCATATAGCGTCCCTTAAGTTGATCCAGTCTCTTTCAATATCATCAGTGTTGATTGTTAAAGCAACATTACTATTAATGCTATTTGTAAGCTTGGCTTTCATCTCAGGATTTGTAAGTTGATCCATATCTAATCTTTTGTTATTCTGTTTCTGGATTATGGTTTTTAGTCTTACTCGTAATTGGGCTACAAGAGGATTATGATCAGAGTTTATATCAGCTCCAGGATATGTTTTGGCTGATATTATTGCGTTACGGAATCGTTTGTTAATTGTTATGAAGTCTATCTGATTTCTAACGATGTACCCAGACCTATCCTGTGGTGACTTCCAAGTGTACAATCTTCTTACTGGTAGCTTAAACCAAGTATTTGTGATAATTTAGTTTTTCTCCTGGCAAAACTGTATTAGTCGATCACCTCGTTCATCTCTTGTTCCCAACCCATACTTGCCAACTACGTCACTGACTTCGCCTTTTCCTATTTTGGGGTTGAAATCTCCCATTACCATGGTTATGTCTTGTTTCTTTAGGTTTTTTATGATGTCGTCTAACTGTTCGTAAAACTCTTCAACTTCTTCATCCGTACTCTTCGATGTGGGAGCATAAACCTGAATTATATTTATGTCTAGAGGGTGCGCACTTAGCTGGATTAACATGCAGCGTTCTGAATATGGAATAAAATTTTTTATATGTTTTCTGATGTTATTATTTACTAGAACCGCTACTCCATGCCTATGGTTGACATCTTCTTCTCTGCTGCCTGAAAAAAATATTGTTGCATCCTCCTTCTCGCACTTACCATTACCTGGCCATCTTATTTCACTCATCCCCAGAATATCAATTTTGAGCCTCTTCATTTCATTAATTGCGTTGTTTAGTTTTCCAGTCTGATAAAGAGTTCTTACGTTCCATGTAGCTATCTTAATAGTATTTTGGTGGTAGTATGGTGACGGTAAGTAGGAAGAAAGTTTGGAAGGCTGTGTAGGATGTTAGCAAAAGGGGAAAATACTCAAGGATTCAAGACCCCAATAAATAAAAGGAAAATACTTATTGCGAGCAAATGGATTTAAGTTCCACTGTCTCAAATAGGTCAAATTGTTTTTCTTTGAAACAGTAATATTGGCCATATCTTGAAGTAATTGAAAAGTATTTTCCTGTCGATGTTTTTTGGAGTTCTATTTCTCTGTTGACATTACTTTTTTTTGTTTCGTTGTATTAAGTTTAATTAATAGATGCTTTATAAAATATATTGCTCATCCATAGCGATTCTATTTATTTTCCTCTGCTCCCGAATTTACTACAATTCTTTTTGACACCTAACACCTGTAAAATTTAAACCATTGATATTCAACCAACCTATCATCAATCATGCTTCTACAAGGACATCTACCTAGTTATTACGGATCACCGTGTATTAATTCTAAAAAGAAACATATATCTGGTAGACGTTGACCTGCATTTTGTATCAGGAAACTGAACACGTTAGTAAATTATGCATACCGATAATAATAATCAGTTTTTTGTTAGATAAACAGAAGTTGAACAATAGTAGTAGGTGCCATTATTTAGAATATTTTAAACCACGTGTTTTTTACGGTCGTCGCGAAAAGATGTTAAATAAGGCGTTGGCGGTTATATTTAAGATCCATTTAAATCGAATTAAATAGTATTTTAATATTTTTGTTAGGAATAAGCCACAATTTTCCTTGAGAAAATAAGTTTATTTGACGTTTGGATTTCCACTACGTAAATTCTTCTACTTCTTTTAGCCTATGAAGTCCGATATGTAATTAATATATGATCGGTGGGCCTCAGTGGGACGTTACTTAATATTTAATTTCGATCGCTTGAAAAGAAAAAATATTTAATTTCCTGTATTTTATGTTCAGTAATAATATTGGATTTTACTGTATCAAAGGCAAATAAAATAAATATAATATGTATATACAGGCCGCTTAAAAGAAGTGAGCCGGACTATTTCGAATAATTGAAATTATTTGTCGACATCAAATGTTCATCAAGGTCTCTTATAAGTCTCTATTTGGCGTAGAGTAAAAATATGAATGGTTTTGCATGCAGTTAAATTGGAGAATACTTGCCTAGTTGCTGGTATATCCAAATTTGAATAAAATACATCCAAGACTTTACTTTCCGCAGACACTGTATTAAATTTAACTTTGAAGCAAATTGGCACTAAATCACTTTCGAGTTTTCAGCAAAACAAAATGTTTAAACACGTGTAGTCCAGTAATTAATACCAAAGCTATCAAGAGTATGCAGTCCAGTAATTAGACCGAAGGTACTTTATCATTTAACTAGAACACATGGACCCATTCCCGGTTCCAAAAGCTAGTGTTGAACCCACGACTCGCTCTCCACCAACCACCTGGATGCAGTCCGCAGTGTCTCCGTTGGTGACCTTTCTAGCACCATCCACAAAAGGTTTCTGAGGTTACAACACATATAATATCTTGGTAACTAACTATCAGTTTAAATTAAATTCAGAAAACGGCGTTGAAAAATACTTGGAAAGACGATTCTTTAAAAAATTACGACCAAAACAATATACTCGCAATAGAGTATGTAAATCTGGTTTGAAACAATAAAGGTATAAGAACTTACATAAATGGTCGCCCGTATTTACCACATAGGTATGATACAGTTTATAAATAATTGAATACACTCACCTCAAGCGACAAAATTTGACAACGGATTAGTATTACTAAAACAGACAAATAGATGAAAGTACGATTCCCCACTCCCTCCTTTACATATACGAGGGTTGGAATGTAGGTTTCCGTACGTACTGCACACGCGCGTTTATCGTAAGGTTAAATATACAAAATTACACTGTTGTTAAATTGTTAGTATAATATTTCATTTCTTTTTTCAGGTGCCTTAGACGAATCTGGAGAAAGTCCCATTCCCGAAATGGGTGGTCGCGCCAGCGAGCTGCTCAGTCCGAAGCAGAGACACCAGATGAAACATCGAGAGCTCTTCCTTTCTCGTCAAGTGGAAACCTTACCCGCTACGCATATTCGCGGCAAGTGTTCCGTTACTCTATTCAACGAAACCGAAGCTCTGGCATCTTATCTCAACAAAGATGACATGTTCTTCTACTGCCTTGTGTTCGATCCTACGCAAAAAACCCTGTTAGCCGACAAAGGCGAAATCAGAGTCGGCTCCCGGTACCAGTGCGACGTTCCTCCTATGTTTAAGGAGACGGAAGAGGATGATCGTAATCTAACCGAACTAGAAACTCTTATTTGGACACCCGATCATAACCTCAGTGATAGACAAATAGATCAATTTCTGGTAGTGTCGAGATCCGTAGGTACGTTCGCTAGGGCTTTGGATTGTAGTTCGAGCGTTAAACAACCGTCTTTACATATGTCGGCCGCCGCGGCGAGTCGGGACATAACCTTGTTTCACGCTATGGATACGTTACATCGGCACACCTATAATTTATCAAGTGCGTTGTGTTCGTTGGTGCCCTCCAGCGGGCCGGTGCTTTGTAGAGACGAAATGGAGGAATGGAGCGCCTCGGAAGCCAACCTCTTCGAAGAGGCATTAGATAAATATGGGAAGGTAAATTTCGAAAATATTTTCCATAGTTTTTAAGTTTTGTATATTCAAATCCTCAAAATTTATGTTTTATATACAGGGTGGTGAATCGTCAAACGGGCCATAGGAAACTCAATGGGAAATTCTAAATTATTGAATTCCTGCTTCCCTTATTATTTTACACCAAAAGTCATGGGAAACTATTTGTACAGGACTCAAACATGTATCGAAAACAAATGTTAAAATTGTTCTACGATTTAAACATATTCCAAAATTTTGCAAAAATATAATACATTTTTCAGGCCACCCCTAAAAGTTAGCCTAGACGCCGTGAAAAAATGTGTCTTACGTGTTGAGTTTTGTCATATTGATGTTTCTGATATTTGACAATATTTAAATCAACTATATTATATTTATCTATTATTTAAATGGCCAACATTTTTATTTTGTGATCTACTGTTTAAAAAAAAATTAAGTTGATTAAAAAATGTATTCAGTTGAGGAGAAAAGATCATAAAAATGTTTTATGCATGTTTTATTATAAAATTTGTTATAGTTTTATGTTTAAAAATAGCATAAAAATTATTGTTAGGAATAAGGATCACAGTAACACCATATTGGAATTCATTGAATTGTTGTATAACTTGGAATTAAATTTTAGTGTATTAGAATATCTTACGTTAAATAAAGATCTGGTAGTGCTCGCAAATTAGACAAAGAAAAGGTTCGCACTATTGCCTGAATAGAACATTATGCGATTTTTCGTCAACTGAGTACATTTCATTATATTTATTGATTTGTAAACAATATAATTTATTGTTCACAAAGTTTACATTTGTTAATTACTATTAAACTGGGAATAAGCCACAATTAAAGATAAAAATACGTTTATTGACGTTTCAATTTCCACTTCGGAAATCGTTCTCAAAATACAAACAGTAAATTAAACAAATTTTGTTTTTTGTTACATAGTGAAAAATTCTTCTAATAATTTAATTTTATCTGACTCATTTATATTGACAATTCAGACATACTTACATTATACATTTTAAAGTAGACGACTTTAAAATGATATTGCCAATATTGTTGAGTTACGCTCCTGGGACGACTTTACTTATAAGATAGTTCATTCGATTACATGAAATCAACTTTAACTTGAGAATATCCGTCAGAAAAAAATCATAGCATGTAATTCGTCTTTAAAAAGACAAACACATGACATGATGACAGTAAAATTCTCCTGTTAGTGATTCCATAGTAAATTATGAGGGAAAAACCAGGAAAAAAACCTCACAATACTAGCCCGACATTGTAAGTATTTGTTCGTGAATTTAGTTTACCTTCAACAAACATCAAAATTCATATTCCATTGAAATTATTCCATTCAAATGTAGTCCTAAAAGAAACGGATGGTAAAAAAAGAAAAATCAAAGAAGCGGCTCTAATTATGCTAAATGAGGCCAATTGTGTCGCAAATTCCTCGGCAGAATGTAGTAGGATCTGGTTACCAATATTGAAAGAGGAAGTTATTAATAAGAAAATACCAGTATTAGTAAGTCAGTAACATATAGAGGATACATCATTTATGTTTTTTAAATAACGTAACATCTAAAATCAGAATTTTGATGTTTGTTGAAGGTAAACTAAATTCACGAACAAATACTTACAATGTCGGGCTAGTATTGTGAGGTTTTTTTCCTGGGTTTTCCCTCATAATTTACTATGGAATCACTAACAGGAGAATTTTTCTGTCATTATGTCATGTGTTTGTCTTTTTAAAGACGAATTACATGCTATGATTTTTTTCTGACGGATATTCTCAAGTTAAAGTTGATTTCATGTAATCGAATGAACTATCTTATAAGTAAAGTCGTCCCAGGAGCGCAACTCAACTATATTGGCAATATCATTTTAAAGTCGTCTACTTTAAAATGTATAATGTATGTCTGAATTATCAATATAAATGAGTCAGATAAAATTAAATTATTAGAAGAATTTTTCACTATGTAACAAAAAACAAAATTTGTTTAATTTACTGTTTGTATTTTGAGAACGATTTCCGAAGTGGAAATTGAAACGTCAATAAATATTTTCAACGTATTTTTATCTTTAATTGTGGCTTATTCTCAGTTTAATAGTAATTAATTTACAATGCCACAAGAAAATAGCTTCAGAACAATATTTACATTTGTTGTTCAGTAGTAGTAGTATTTAGTAAAATTCATTGTTTATAATTTAATCATAAAATAAAAAAAAAATGACGATTAAAATATTGTCAAACATCTGACATAAATTTGATAAATCACATACGTCATAATATACATTCTTGCAATACATGTGGCCTAACTTTTAGGGGTGGCCTAAAAAATGTATTATATTTTTGCCAAATTTTGAAATACATTTAATTCGTAGAACGGTTTTAACATTTGTTCTTAATTCAGATTTTAGTTCTCTACAAATAGTTTTTTATGACTTTTGATCTAAAATAATTAGGGAAGCAGCAATTCAACAATTTAAAATTTCCCATTGAGTTTCCTATGGCCCGTTTGACGATTCACCACCCGGTATAATAAGTATTGTATATTAATTATATCAAACATATTTCTCACCAAACAGCAAACTGCAAATTAATGCCAACAAATAGTCATTCCTTTATTTTTATTGTTTTTCACGGATCAAAATTATAATATCCCGTAGTATTAAGACAACAAATTAAAACCTAATTTATTACAGGAACTTACATTTGTTTGAGTAACTTAAGGGAGACCGGGGTTTATTGACTTATTTTTTCAATAATTAATTTTTACTGATTAACTTTTTTCATACTGTTAAATTCAATTATGTCAGCTAGTTCTATGTCCCTTCAGGTATTGTACATACATTTTCAATTTATTCGAGTTCTCCGTAGAAAAAAGTTTCAAGCAAAGGTTATACCGGGATAAGATGGTCAAAAGTGCCCCCGCACCGATCAGCTTCGCGATCTGCGCTTTCGATAAATCGTATAAAAACATGACTTCTTACAAATTTTTAACTTCCCAGAGGCCACAGATCCTCTGTAATCCAAAAAAGAAGCTTTTTCGACTTAATTTTTTTCTAGACGTAATTTTACTCTAAAATCTGAAAAAATTCATTAAAGTGTATCTTTCAAATACAAAATAGTCTGATTTTTAAAAAATTTTATATTGAAAATTGAGACTAGAAAAAAATCATTGAAATTTTCAATAATTTCTTAGGTTATGTTAATAATTTTTGGCTAACTTTTAAATAGTAATTTTTTATGTACTACTTATCAACTACTTCGAGAATTTCAATACAACTCGATATTTTCGATATTAACTTTCAACGGATTTTAGGACAAAGGAATGATATATCCCATAGGCGTGCTCTATCATTATCTAGTACATACTTAACTTATTTATTTTGGTAAACATTTGTCACTAGACTATATGCAGGCAATATGCATTATCAGCTAAGGCTTACGCACAAAAAGTGATATGCGATTAAAAACGATAAAAACAGTTTTGACTATTAAAACAAAAAAAAGGCAAGTGGTATAACAAAATTGAAGGGTGCGATCAAAAATACGCGGAAATTCGATCATTTAGTTACTAGATTTTAAGGTTATGAGCCAATAATGTGGGAAAATATTTTAAAAAAACACGATTTTTTCGCAATTTAAGTATTTGTAGTTAAAAATGATTAGTTTAACAATGATGATTCGTAGCCCGTAAGAAAATATATGTAAAAGGATATCTAACTATCTGATTTTGAGGTAACGTAAAAAAAGTGCGAAAATGATAAAAAACGTGATATTTTCGAATTTTATTTTTATGAAGGAGTTAAATGGGGACTTTTACAATAGAATTTGATAATATGGAAGAAAAAATCTTGAAAAATGTTGAATTACCAACTGGGTTTATGTGCAAATAAATGAGAAAAAAAAAACGGTTTTTTTTTATTTTTTGATGCTTTTCGCTCATAATTGAAAACTCTGTTTGGCCATTAAAAAAAACGAAACAGATGGGAGCTCATCTGCTGCACTGGGTACATTGCAACCAGTCATCCCCTCTAGTGCTATTTCGATAGGATTCTTCACATACCAAGCTCTCAGTTTCACCCTCAAATTCCGAGGATGTAGGGTCATGATGAGCTGCATACGTACATGGAATCGAGCTTTTTACTGATAGAAAAGAATTCTTCAGCTGTCTCTATTTTTTGGATTTTTGATGTCTTTTTAAACCACTATCCCTGGTTATCGAATGCCGAACTTGTATCACAGCCTGAAAAAGCGTTAACGAAACCAATTTTAATGAAATTTGGGGGATCGTTTTATTATATTATGAAATAGTGGCTTAGTATTCTTTTAAGTTTATTGTGGTACTGTACCTGATTATACAGATTGAACAAATTTAAAACGGATCATACAATTTAATATATGTCTGTTTGAACTGCATTTGAAATAGTGGACCAATATAAAACTTGGACAAAAATAAATCCATACCTGGGTTTAGACATTGTATAAAATATCGTTCAACTATCCGTCTCCTTTTAGAACGCACCATAGTCTAGAGCGCAGCCTAAAGTCAATGTTGGCAAGTGCCGTGTAATAATCCGATTTGCGGATCTTTTTGGGTTATATCTTCTTCGTATCTTTAAATAAATCGGATATTTGCTTATATTTTTCATTGTATTTACCAATCTATTACAACAGATTAATAACAAAAATAAACTTAATGGTTTGTAGTTATTTCAGAAGTTTGTAGTTATTTTAGAAACATCTAGAGGAATGATATTGGCAACATCGCTCAAAATCTCCATCTCCGATAAACGAAAGAGGGGCATACCTAAAGCCGGCCACTCACGATACAGCGGCGTTCTTCAACTTCGTTTTTAACTACACACTTGCTTTGATCATATTATAGAAAATCGAAATGGCTTGATTTAGCGAGAATTTTTTAAGAGAGTTTTTTGAATTATATAAAATACAAGAATGCTTATAGCGAATAAAAGGTAAAACGTATCACGATAGAAACGGCCGAAAACAGGCAATGGACATTCTAGTTTTAAAGTTGTTTTAAAAGAGTATGTAAGAAAAAAAATTAACAATTTTAGAACATCCTATAAAAGAGAATTAAAATTAGCATTGCAGTCCAGTAAATCGGGTGCAGGGGCAGACGAGATTTATTTTGCATCAAAATCTTGGATTCTTTGCACCAGAATCTACGTTTTATTTTAGGTTTCTTTTTACGCTTAGTTATACACAAAGTATACAGTGTTTGATGCAATACAAAGATTTCGGGAAACAGGACACAGACCACAAGTCAAGTTGAAGATAGCTTTCTTAGGTTACAAGCGTTACGTGATCATACTTTATCAGCTCCAGTTCAACGATTAATGATGTCGATAGAAACACAGTTTCTGTTTATACCGTTCGAAGACGCTTAAATGAATATGGATTAAGGTCCAGAATACCTGTCACGGGACCTCTATTAACAACAGATTATCGGAGACAACGGTTACACTTCGCTCTCGAAAATATTAATTGGGGTATTGACGATTGGACTGCTGTGCTTTTCACGGATGAATCAAGATTTAACAGATACTCATCAGACGGGCGGCCTAGAACATGGAGAAGAGCTGGTGGACGTTATCACCAATGTTGTTTTACTCCGAAAGTTCAATTTGGTGGAGGTGGTATAATCGTGTGGGCAGACATTTCCCTAGAGGCTCATACATAACTTTTTACAATTCAAGGGGCCAATTTAAACGCTCAATGGTATATTCAGTAATATTTGGAAGACCATGAAGTGACATTTGCCCCATTTGTTAAAGAAAACTTTCGTCTGATGTAAGATAATGCTCGTACGCACATCGCAAGAATAACAGGGGATTACTTGGATGAAGTTGGGATTCGTTTATTGCCATGGCCCCCAAGGAGTGCAGACAAATCTAATAGAGCATACATGGGATATTCTGGGACGTATTTGACGTAACCATGGTGTGTTTGAAACCATGAATGATTTGGAGCAAGCAGTTCGTGACGAATGGAAGCAAATCGCTCAAGCAGACTTTGCTGCCTTAATCCGAAGTATGCCAGATCGAATGAAAGCCATAATTAGGGCTCGTGGAGATAACACACTCTACTTATTACTAATAATTTATAATCATTTTGTTTCTTTGCAGATTTTCAAATTTTTTGAATTGTTTATTGTTTTCTCTGTAACATTCTTGAGTTGTAATAAATTTGACTTTTAAATTTTGTTTATTATTAAGTACTCAATTGGGAACATCTTACACTTTTTTAATCGCCAGTTTTAAGGAGAAATAATTAGTTTCCGGTTAATTTTGTACCCCAGTGTATTTGAGAGGGAGGGAGAGTCAATTATTAAGGTTTTGAAACTACTTTCTTGTGGCATGTCCAATTTAAATATTATTTTTATATGAGATTAAGCCACAATTATTGGTTGTAATGAAACACATTTTTAATTAACTTATGTTTGACTTTTCGATTTCCGGAAATCGTTTTCAAAAAAGATTATTATACAAATTCCGGGAAATGTGTAACCAAAGTTTTTGTTATTGGTTATGTCATTTCAAAATTGACATTCTTGACAGCGATCTTGTAGGCAAACAGCATATCATGGCTGTACTAATGATTTCCGCAGTGGAAATCGAAACGTCAAAGATTAGTTAGTTAAAAATGAGACTTAGGCTTAATCCCATATAAACATACCTAATATTCAATTATTATTGAAGTTATCACACAACTTTTTCTGCAAAAAATAGAATGCCTTCTCTCACATCCAAAGGTCCTTTTCTCACATCCCTAGTCTAAAATGGTGTATTATAAAGTATTATTTACTATAACGTTTGTTTTAGGATTTTAACGATATTCGTCATGATTTCCTTCCATGGAAAACACTAAAGAATATAATAGAGTATTATTACATGTGGAAAACTACGGACCGATATGTACAACAAAAACGAGTGAAAGCTGTGGAAGCGGAGTCAAAATTGAAACAAGTCTACATTCCTAACTAGTGAGTTCGTATAATTCTTATTATTACATTTTGGTTCTTATTTTGTTTTATTTTTGGCTATGTTCAGTTAAACTTTACTAAGCTATGATTATTGCGTCTATATTTGAGTTGGTCTGTTTAAAATATCACCAAATTACAAAAGTAAATAAGCTTAAAGAGTTGAAACTTGAGCTCTCGCAAATGCTACCTCGAAATAAGTAAGAACAAGAGTGAAGTACCCGCTCTTGTCTCTATAAATTTATATAAAGTTGTGCAGTGTCTAGCAAGCATACGGCAAGGTATAGCATAATGGATATAAAACCCAAAATCACTTGAAAAGTGAATACTATCTTGTTCTTAAATCATATTTAGAAAGTCATTTCGAGATATCTGTATACAAACCAGCACACTCGAAACATATTCCCAAATATTGCAGGCATATCTCCAGAAATCATTTTTGGTCCGTATCTTATTTGATATTCGCATCATATGCACAAACTACTTCAGAAATAAACATTTATTCGCAAGATCCACAAATGACATGGAAAAAAATCATTATGCCTAATAGACCTTTCCATGCTGCAACCTCAACAACGTTGTGAAATCTTCTTTTGTTATGTCTGTAGCTTTCGGATACCGAAGACGGTGTTTTAATTCATCGGAAACTTTAACCTTTTCCTCGCTAGGTCACTTATGGACTCGTTGAATCATTTTTGTACTTTGCTGAGTTTAATTGCGTTTTTTTCTTTGGTTTCTGATCTGTTCTTGCACCATAAGAAGCTATGGAATGGATGACACTTCGAGCATAATGCTAATGATTCACCGCACAGAATTAGCGTGAAGATTTCCTTGACCAGACAAAGTATTAGTGCTCTCTGAGGGAATATATATTGTATAATAATGGTGATAGTATGCAGCCCTGTCTAGTTTTTTGGAAAGATCTGAGTCTTTTGAAAAGGATGAAAGCCTTCATGTAATCTACGAAACAGTCGTTTTTTCTATTATCCTTCTGGTGTTCAATATCTGCTCACGCATTCCTTTCTTTGGTACGAATCCGCATACTGTCTTTGGAAGAAAGTTCTTTAGCCGTTTAAATATATGTACCACGATTTTGCTTGAACGAGGAATAAAGGCAATAGTTGAGCAATTACTGCATACCGTTAGTGACCTTTTGTTATTGATAGGGATAAAGGTTCATGCGTACCACTCATCAGGACATTCACCTACGATTTATATCTTGTTGCACATAACCAGTATTACATCTGTGACAATCTTATCCATTGCTTTTAGAGTCTCTGCTGGTATGCTACCTATCCCTGGGTTTTTTGTTTCTTCGTTGTCCGATAACCTTCTTGACTTCTGCTCGTATAACGATTGATTCTGCCTGTTTGACTTCATGTTTCTTGTGTTCTGCTGAAACTGGTGCATCTTTTGAAGTATCTTTATATAATTCAAAGCAGTAATTTTTCCAGGTTTCCCCAATGTTCTCTGTGTCGGTTTTTACTTCTCCATTGTGGTCTTGAATGGCTTGAAGTTGTGGCTTGAGCTATCGGGACAAATATTTAACTTGTTTACATAGTTCATGACTTTCATGGCGCTTTACATCTTGCTCCAGTTCTTGACACACCCTATTTATATGATTGTTTTTATCTCTGATGCACCTACATTTTATTTTTCTGCTTAACATCGCTATTTCTGGAGTGTTGTTTCCTGTTTTTGTGCTATGTTGTAACATAAATCTTCTTTGTTTAACTAATTCTAATGTTTCACTGCTCCAAATGTCTATTCTTTTGGATTTTACGCGTTGTGCACTGAGTGGACTAAAATGACTTATATCAAGCCTAAATAACATATAGAGGTCAAAACATTTGAAAATAATATGACCAAGTTATTAGATGATTAAAGCCTGCCGAGAAATACCTTTATTACATAAAGTGGAGTGGATGGATGCAAGTCAAGAAGTCATTAAATTAACTCATAAAACTATGAAAATTCTATTTTTACTAAAGATAACCGCAGCATCGGAAGACCGCATAAAAGATGCAGTGACAAGTTTCATTAGAAATATCAAACTGCCAATGAACAAACAGAATTGCTTACAAAGAGGAAGAAAAAGAAGAATTTTTTCATGGTTAATGAGATTCGTTTAATCAAACAGAGGAGTCATCCAAAACCATGTTCCATAAATAATTTTATATATTAATTTTCATGTTATCAAAAGAACTGTTGTTATACTGTCATATATTATCATTTCATTAAGCTTCTTACATATTTCTGTCTTATAATATAGCTTTATATAAACATTATTTTGTTACAGCAATAAACCAAATCCTGCGGCATTAAATAATAACAAAGGTGTTGTTAATGGTAGTAACGGCAGCTCAGATCCAGCGGTGTCTTTAGGTGGAAAGGCGTGCGAGTCGTGTAATGGTAAGACAATATTTTTTTACCGTTTTTAGTTCCAGTATCGTGCGTCTGTAATAGATAAGGAAAGTAATCTAAAGACCTATCATGACGAAATATTGGAAACATGTCGAAACTACTGTGGCGAGCTATATAAAAATAACGATGTACCAGCAGAAAATCAGTGACCCTCTGACTACCCTAGAGAACCTACTGTCTTACTCGTTGAAGTCAAAGATGCAATTAACCCATTTAGTATTGAAACTTTTTTTTTGTTTAAACCTGAATGTATACATTGAGTAGTGATTAAAAGGCTTCAAAAGTCAGGGAAAAATAAACAAAAAAATATCCGACCTCCAGATTGGTCACAATTCGGTGTTCTTTTAAAAGGACAGTAGGACTATAAGTTACTTTAAATGAAAAAAAAATTTTTCCAAAAATATTTATTTATTAGCAAGTACAATTTACATTCATTGAGTGTGATAATTATAAAAGCATTATTTAGGATGAAGGACAACATTACACTTATAACAAATAAAATTTGCCTTTTTGTGGCAGTGTACGCATCTTCGTTGCTGTTCTTGATAGGGTACTAAATGATCCAACCTATCATAACTTGAGTGTTCCCGTTGATTGCTTGTCGCTTTTGAAGGTCCTCGTTTGGTGGTTCGCTTGTGCGTTTCTAACAGCTCAACTGCAATAGCCCTTCGGAATGCTAACTGGTCAAGTTTTCCGCCATCCTGTTTTTGCAAGTGGTATGCATTCTGAACTGCCATATCGACACAATGGGAAGGTTGGTTTATGTATATATGCTTCTTCTCAGATTGTGAAAATTGTTTTACTTTATTTAGAGGGAAAACTGAAGACACGTTCGATGCAAAAGTAACGACACTATTATCATTCCAATTACATATTATACTATCATCATCTACCATGGAATAATCAAAAGCACCTCTCTCCAGTTTTTTCATCTCTTTTGTTGTTTTTAGGAGACATTCTGGAATTCTATTTACTCTTATGGTACCTGTACCTTTTATGTTTCTGAACTTCAATTCTTTCAGGAGAGACAAAGATGTGAAGTAGTTATCAAAAAACAAATTAAATGGCATCTTCTGTAAAACATCGGCGTATTTGAGAACAACACTTGACCCTAAACCTATGCTCCCTGATATGGATCAAAATAAATGATATATCCAAGTCTTGTTGCTCCAACCCAAAACTTGTAGCCCCAGCGAATGGGCTTTTCACGGATGAATTTTTTGCAACTATGGCGTCCAAAATAGGGCTCCCTAGCTTCATCTATACTGTGGTTTTCTTCTATTGGAGCGTATTCGAAGAATTTTTTGTTCAGAGATTCGAAGATTGGTCTCATTTCAGACAACTTATCTTGCTTATCCAGTTGGGTGTTATCATTGCAGTGAATGTTGTTATAATATTGAAATCGATCTCTGGATATAGCTGAACAAACTACTTACTATTATTTATATAATCAGAATTTTGCTCATACATTTTTCTTCTAGCAACAGAGTAATAACCAGTAAGCAGTAATATACCAGTCTTCTTCTTCTTTCAGTGCCTATTCGTTCGGAATATTGGCAATATACCAGTGAAGTAGAACATTTCATCCGTAGTTATATCATCTAGAGAATTTTTTTGTTGGGAGTATGTATTAATATATTCCGTAATTTGCCATAATCAGCCATAAACAATTTAAATATCGTTGCTGGTGAACGCTGATTGTTTGCGGATTGAATTGGAATCCATGTAGAGAAATTTGATTGTAAATCTCGTTTTGAGTATTTAAATTTTTTAAATTTCTTAGGTTTGTGTTCAACAGAGTCTGCTAATGACTTATCATTATCTGAATCAGATTGATTTGGTAGATTAACTTGATATTCTGCCTTTAGTTGACATCCAGGTAAGTTCTTAATATCAACATTATCTTCTTCACCCGAATCCTCATCGGTAATGTCATCGTTAGCATTTTCAGGAGGCAAAATTGCAATGCTATCTGGAACGTCAATATCTTTTTCTATTTCTTTAAGTAGCTCCGCTAGCATAAGAGGCTTTTCCGGTACGAACGACTGAGAAAAATAAAAAAATATTTGTTAGTAATACAGAACGCTATAGATGCTGATTGTCCTACTGGCCTTTTAATAGAACATGATACTTTGAGCACGTGTTATGATATTATAACCGACAAAAATTAGATAGATAGATAAAAAGATAGATAGATTTTATAGATCCTGATAGTATGATCTTCACGTTTTTACTATATCTTCTCTATTTGTGTTCAGAATGCCGGTATCGGCCGGTTTTTAATGGTTTATATTTTCTTAATTCCAGTTGTTACAATTATTCAGCTTGTAGTCGGTATCGATAGCTTCGTTTGTGATAACAGGGTTCACCAATGTGAAGGTGAGATTGACATTTGAGCAGGAGAGGCTATTCGAGACGTGTCACTACCCCATTAGATCCCTAAGAGGACCTAAGAGCATTGATATTACCTTGAAAATTGCAAAACTCCTTCAAATCAAACTGACATATTTGCAGTGAGAAATATTAAGAGCAGTCTTTATGGTAAACTAAGATATACTTCAATATATATCCTAAAACAAATTTTCCTTCTTTGTTTACTTTTATTGTACAGCTGTTAAAAAAGATCTAAACCCATATTGTATACAATTTTTTGACAATATTTTATAATTTCCTAATTTTAAGTTTTTCTATTCCAGTAACTGTATCAAACCAATGGTACGCCTGGGGTCCTTCGCATATGCAGTGTCGTCTGTGCCAAGCATGTTGGCAATATTGGAAAAAGTACGGAGGGTTAAAAATACCGACAAGATTTGGTGACGGTGATTTTGAAAACGGTGGCAAGAAAAAATCGGGTAGTGACGTGGACGAAGAAAGATTGCCTGGCATGTCACATCGGCCGCACCGTTGTAATATCGGCGGTTGTGGAAAGGAGTTCAAACTTAAAGCACATTTAGGTAGACATTATGCCACTGCTCACGGACTAGTTATCAGGTAAATTTTAGACAGTGTATTTGAATCGGTTTGAAATTATTACTTTAGATAACGGATTGCTATTAAAATAATGTCAAGTGTCACGACAATAAAGGTTGTAGCTCATAATTACTTGATTTAACATGCCAGAAAGACAAATTCGTGAGAGATATCCGCGCTAAATAGGCGGATAGTAGTGAAGGGTCCACGTAGACTCGGTTCTCGACATTATTACGATCCAAGTCTTCTAAGATCCGGATTTAATATTTGAAGAATAATAATTTTCATCTACTTTTATCACCTAGTTGTACATCTAAAAATGTTAAGTTTATTATTATTTTGACTTTAATTATTCCTTTATTATTTTATTGCTTTTATTTCTCATTGTACCGAACTAAATATCCCAGTACCTATTTGTTCATTGGCAGTTAAGTCTTTATTTTCAAGACGGTAGTTCCATCAGTAAAGATCCAAAAGACCGGATTACTGACCCAGACATGTGACTGTTGTTTTGGGTCTAAAAAACCCGTATTTCCCATGGCAGTACCTGGAACGGGAGGAGTTCTCTAACACCGTCCAAGTGTAGCTGAATAAATATTTCGGCTGGGTACAAGTAATTAGGTAGAATTACTTCAGATTATTCCTTCGACTTTTGGTGTATTTCCGTCAAGCGGTGGTTCTTTTGTTGTATGTATTTAAATAAACTACTTCTTACTCAGTAGAAATGTATTTACAGTGATAGATGATGATACAATTACCGTTTATTTGCTCTCTGCTTTTGTATAAGAAATATTATAATTTACAGTAACTGATACGTGATCGGATCATTCATCAGCCGGTGTGGTTGCTTCGTTCGGCAGTTGAAACGTAAGAGAGGGCTTTTTGTTTGCAATATTTCTCTGGACATCGCTATGTTGCAGAGAGGTGAAAGAGGTAGGAGCGTTGTTGCAAGTTTGGATTAAGTCCGAACAGTACCATAACGTAATTATGTTAGTTTTTAATATTGTTAAATAAACTTTCTTAACGTAGAAGGAATACACCACTATTAGAACGGAATAATGTACACACAATAATTTAGATAATCTGTTAACCAAATTAAGACTGGATGGTGGTCTTCGGTACCAGCCGAATCTTAAACAGAAGGGATCCTCTATAAACTAGGCGTTGGAAACCTCCTTCTGTATTGAGATAAAAAGAGAGCTCCATACTAGAATGCGAGGTGCCTCCAGTCTAGGATGAACTAGAACCCTAATTAGATGAGAAAATACAAAAATAAAAGATACCAAGATACAATAGATATAAGAATCAAAGAAGCAAACGGTATAAAGAAGATCTTACCCTATAAGGGCCTGGAACACACGTAGAATCGTCTTTAACTTCTTGATTGGAAAACGGTATATAGTAGGAATCAAGCAAGCAATCAATTTAATTAAACTAAGCTTGTGAGACATGTTCACCCCCTAAGAATTACGTTCGGGTGTAGCAATTCATTGGAGTGAGGTGGATTGACTCGAGTTAAAAACAGAAGTCACATCACCGTGCTTGAATACTCCAGACCATCCCTTTCCCCCTATAGCACTCTGATGTACGATAGGAGCACAACTATTAGCCACATGCTCTTCATCCTGGAGTCCTGGGTAATGGAACTCCAACATGGTACCATATCCGATTGAAGTTCAGGCTAGCGTTAGTCGTTTTATTCGTGTGACGTTTTTGTTAATATGTTTTTTAATTCTTTCGCTGGTTTTTGTTAGTAATTTTGTAATTTTTTTGGTGGCCGAAACCGTTTTTTGTGTTTTTTTGTATGATGTCCTGAAACAAAAAATCATAATTGGTATATGCATATAAACATAATCAAATTACCTGTGCCTACATTGTGATTACACTTGTTCATGATTTTATAGAGCTACGAACTATCCGTTTTTGTGTGTTGTTATTGATTTTGTTTTATTTGCTCTCCGGTGATTTTGGTGATTTTTCTTTCTGGTATTTTTGTTTTATTTTCTATCTGGTTTTATTTTATTTTTATTACACTATTTGTTGTTTGGGTCTTTTGTGCTTCCATCGGTGGAAAGCGTCGTATCTCATGATCTCTCGCATGTGATATGGATGGTTCTTCAGTTCCGCGAACTTTGTCCTTGCTTTATCCTTCATTATTTCAGTCACTCAGACCAGACCAGAAAAGGAACTGAAAAGTTAGGCTGTTTTTATACCTACAAAAAATTGCTTGCACAATATCCTTTAAAAAAGATTATTTATAATATTTGCAAACAAAACGTAACGAGATCTTTGACGACATTTCGGAAAAATCTTTTAAGCGGATTATGCGGCTATTATAGTTGAACGATCCTGGGTGGTATATAATAGTGATGAAGACGGCATAAAATAATTTCTTAAGAAATACTTAAAAAAATTAACTATATACTGAGTGTTGTCCAAAATTTAGACAAAAGGTAATGTATCGGCTTTTCAACACGTTACTTACATGACTAGGAAACAGATTTTACCGCTGAGCGCGTAGAGTTCGCTGTAAGTAGGTTGGTAAATGTTACTATAACTGATAGCACTCATTACGATCTTGTGTTTACGTACGTCATCTTCACAATTCTGTCATTATTAGCCACTGCTCGGTTTGCGCCTGACTTAAAACAGGACGCGTATGGTAATCTATTAAAATGGAGGCACAAGGAGATCTAAACAGGATAAATACAGAGGGAAAGAACTATACCAATTATAGGCACCTAACTAAAGACGGAAGTATTGGCAATGTTATTTGCGAAAGTATATTCACTAATCTCTTACGCGATTCAGAATGTTTAATAACAGTATTTATGACAGAAAAGTAATGTTATTTCTTAAATGACCGATTCATATTTCTGCAAGATAACCTGCTTCCATTAATTATGTTATAGTAAAATGTATTAATTGATTGTCTGATTGGTATTAGCATTCGTAGCATTACTATTTTAATTTCTGTATGTTGGAACGATTGTAAATATATTAATAAAGTTGAAAAAAATAATTACTAGTAAAATCATTCATACCTCATACTCATCACTGTCACTCACAACTCATCAATTTAGTTTATTAGTAAAAACATATTTGTAGAAATATATTTCAAGATGGATTGGATGCTGCTAGCTGCGGTAATTGCAAAGGGAGTTTAAAATTAATCTTAAAGTAATATACAATAATTAGTTACTAATCTAATTATAAAAAATGTTGCAAGTTACTTAATATACTGAGTGAGTCAAAAATATTGCTTAGCTGTTTAAAAATAAAATTAATATCTTGAATATAAAACTCGGCATACCGTACGTTATACAAAAACGAATAGAAGATAAGAGGATAAGGTTGCTGAAAAATGTTATGAATAGAATAAAAATGTCTTTTTATAATTACTTACCCACAATGTGAAAAGTAGTGGATGTCAGATAATGAGCACACGAAGAGATTGACATTTTCAAAGCCAAAAGACAGAAGAAGTAGAGGACTACCACGTAGAAGATGGATTGATGATGTTAAGATTCTGCGATTATGTCAAGATCTACAAAGGATTTTCAAAGCAATTATTATGGTGATAATACTATAAGCTACTCAGTTACAATTCATTCTATTTGTTTGTTGAATATTCGATAAACTTATTTAGTGCTTCCTTTTTTTAAGTACAAGTCTCATGTGTACAGTTTTTAATATATAATGTATTTATTAGGTAAGATATATGTATTTCTTTCATTGCTTTAACTCTATGTGGGGTCGGGTTCCCTCATTTCATTTTTTCATAAGTTTTAACTAGGGATCTAACCGGGCCGGATCAGGACCTACCTATAAGGAAGTATTCCAACAGGAATACTTCTATTAATATTATTTTACAAGTACTATCGATTTAAACTTTAGATGTAATGAAATTTTATATTTTAGCTTCTAAAGTATCAAATGTCTATCAAAATGTCAGTTCTGGGGTGGGAATTCTTTTAAAGTCTTTCAGGTTTTTAAAAATTTCCAAACTCCGACCGAATCATGATGCTGATCCGGCCAATTGGTGGGATTAGTAGTACCGCCGGAATTCCGATGAATCTTTAATTTCTACCTTTAGGTTTATATAAGTATCAATCACCGTCACATACATAAGCGTTTCACACTTAAGTCTTATTTGGTCTGTCCTTGCTTGTTATTTTTTTTAATGTTCAACATTGGGTTCCATACGTCATAACTGGTATTATGTCAGTTTTGTGGAACTTTTCTTTTAGTTTCCTAGGATTCACTCAGCCACAGAACACAATACTTGCTTTCTTCTATTTCATCCATCTCGCTCTAAATCTACTACATGCATCTTCATATATCGCTCAATTACACTATAATGCCAATTGTTATTGCCATTTAAAACCATTTCACCATTTAAAGTTGTTATCTTATTTGTAGTATTAACTCCATCTATAAATAACATTCTAGGTATTCTATTTCTAACCTACTAATTTTTAAATCTTTTTAGAGCTTGTCTCTACTATCCCAGTCTTTGCCTCAATTTTTTTTTTGCACATTAAATTAACATAAAAATTTTATGACCGTAACCATAAAATATCAATAACGAAGAGCTGAATAATATGCTTTAAGAGCTAAAATTAAAATAGGATAAAAGTTAAATATATAGCATCTTTTCAACATCATCAGTGTGTTCAAAAAATGGTACACATAATATAATTAAAAATACTAACTTTTTTGTATTATCTCCCTTTTATCTATCCATCCATCCAATGGCACTACAGCCCAAGCCGGGCCTTGGCCTCCTTCATTAAACCTCTCCAAACATCTCTATTTACTGCTATTCTTTTCCATGAACGCGTTTTTAGGAGATTTTTGGCATCCTCATCTACCTCGTCTTCCCATCTCTTTTTTGGTCTTCCAACAGGTCTTTTTCCTTGCATTCTTGCGTTTAGTAATTTTCTGGGGATTCTGTTCTCATGCATGCGAGCCACATGCCCTGCCCATCGTAATCTCTGCAGTCTAGTGTATTGTGCTAGTGTTGGTTCAGTGTATTGTTCGTATATTTCGTTATTATATCTAATTCGCCAGTTGTTATTTTCCTTTATTGGACCCAGTATTCTACGCAATATTTTTCTTTCGAACACGTCTAATGCATTGGTAGATTTCTGTGTTACAACCCATGTTTCACACCCATAACTTACTATTGGTCGGATTATTGTTTTATATACCCGGAGTTTTGTTTTCCGGTGTACGTCTCGCGATTTGAATATGTGGCCCATCGCGAAATAGGCTTTGTTTGCCAGCATAAGCCTTCTATTTATTTCCGGTTCTTCTTCATTATTTTCGACCAGATCCATTCCTAAATACGTGAATCTATTCACGTATTCTATATCGTCTATAAATTGTTGTTGTTGCGCCTGTCTATTTGATCTGGTTTGTATGAGTAGTTTTGTTTTATTTGTATTTATTGTTAGCCCTACAATTTCTGAACTCTGTTTCAACTGAACGTAGGTTTCTTCTGCCGCAGTCTTTGTTCTGCTCATTATGTTTAGTCATCTGCGTATGCTGCTAATTGGGTAGATTTGTTTGTAAGTATGTTATTTCTGCTCACCGTCAACCGTCTAATTACATATTCAAGAACAAGATTAAAAAGTGTTGGAGCCAGTCCGTCACCTGGTTTCAGTCCTTGCGTTGTCATAAACGCATCAGTGATCTGTCCTTGAATACATACATGTGCTTCTGTTTCTGTCATTGTCATTTGCACTAGTCTTATTAATTTTGATGGTATGCCAAATTCTTGTAATATATTAGGTAGTATTGTTCTATCTATTGAATCATAGGCTTGCTTGAAATCTACAAAGAGATTGTAGACGTCTATGTCATATTCCCATGCTTTGGCTAGTATATTCCCTTTTATCTATATTTACATATAAACAAGATGATGAGGTTCTCAGAGTTCCACAACAAACTCTTGAGCAGCTATCTACTCAATTCGACAGCTGCTTTGCTATGGACTGTCCAAGTTGCTCACCACAATTTGCATATACATATATTTTTTTGATAGTTGACACTAAAAGACTATTTTGATACCTGACAGAAATTTTACTAATGCATTATAAATTCTCTCATTTTAGTATTTTTGCCTCAAATTCATTTTAGTATTTTTTTAGTAACACTACATCCCTGTAGTTTCCCTTTTATCTAATCTAACGCTAATGATAATATATTCGATAAGGTCAAATACTATCAAAAACGCACCTTGGCAGTTTAATGAGGCGTCAGTTTTTTTATTTATTTACATAAAGCTTATTTTTCAATGTATCTATTACTACGCTATTTTAAGAGCGTAGGCGCAAAATTTCGGGCCAATGCCTTTTAAATGCATTAATTTTTTTCGAATCCTGAGAAAACTAATAATTACTGAATAACTGAATAATTATTTTTGAAAAATTTAAACGCAGAATGAAAGATTACATTATTATCGAGGGCCGAAAGTCTTAGAATAAACAAAAAAATTTTTTAAATGAGATATTTGAAATTAAAAATCACACTAAATTTGCTCTTTTTTTTAAACCCTTTTAACTTATTAAAATAAACATTATAGAAGTTTTTAGGGACTTTCGGCCCTCGGAAGTAATGTATTCTTTCATTCTGCGTTTAAATTTCTTAAAAATATTTATTAGTTTTCTCAGGATTCGAAAAAAATGAATGCATTTAAAAAGCATTGGCCCGAACAGTAAAGGGAAAAGTTGCAAACAATCTAGAACACGAGATTAAATCGAGATCTCAGCAGCCCTTACCAAATACAGTATTTTATTCCCTCCATAGTGAAAATCATATATAGGTGACTTACCTCAAACTACGAATCCAGTAGAAAGATAAGTTTTAGGGTGGCTGGAACATAAAATTTTAGATAAATAATGGCAATGCATTATGATTTATTGGATACATATTACAGATATATAACACCCAAATACTTTTATCAGTTCAAATATCTTGTTTGTTCGGTCATCGTTCTATGGATGAGGCGAACATTGATAAATGGCATTATAATGTACATATTTTTATAGATCTGGTTCACCAAGACCAATTATGAAAACTAGGACGGCGTTTTATTTGTTCACGACGCCAATTACTAGGATTTCCAGAAGGTTGTGCAGACATATTATGAGGCCGAGACACGCAGCCAGGGCTCCGTTCTTTGCTATTAATATACAAGCTGTCAAACAGGAGTGCAGTATACAAATGGTAAGATAACGTTTTCTCTACTTCTGTATTAATTATCCTTCCATCGGGCGCGATATTTCATTTTTCTTGAGTCTTTTTGAAAATGTTTTTTTTTTTTAATAAATGTTGGACAATTGCTTTGGGATATTTAAAAATTATATTTTACGGCATTTTAACTAATTTAGGTTTATTTTTGTTAAAAAAACAAGCCACACTTTAAAAATATAATATTTTCCGCAAATCGCCAGGAAATTTTGACATTCCTGTCAAAATTTCTTGAAGAAAAAGTCAGGACTTCCTTACTGTAAGGAAATGTCATTTCCTTACTGTAAGGAAATGATATTTCCGTACAGTTGTTAGTGTTCTACATAAATGATAGAAAACACATTGCTTATAAGGAATTAATTTATATTTTGAAAACATCAAGTCATTGCTGAATACATTTTTAAGATCAATTTGTTATATTTACAGTAATTTGACAGTTAGTACAATTATTGAACATTGGAGGAACACTCTTAGAACTATGAGAAACATTTTGGACAACATGCAGGGTGGAAGTGTCATTTTGTTGAATATTTTGTACTGTGAAAATTTTATTTGCCACCTCAACCTTATTGTTAAGCGATTCTTCGATATATCCTTCAGCAACGTTTGATGACTTCCATCCGCCATGCCTCTTTAAACTAGTTATGTCGGCACCAGAGTCAACCAATATTGTTGCAGAAGACCGACGAAAGCAGTGACCAGTATATTCTGTCGGATTTACCAAGTTCAAATAAGTAGCAATTATTTTGGGCATTTTTCTAAATTGATGAATTCCTACCACTTGTCTACAACCCTTTCCGCTTTGATATTTAAAGAAAAATCGGTCACTGTTCATATTTTCTGATCTTAACGAAACATACTTTCGATAAACATTCAAGTAGATCTGATTAATTACAAATGATCTTGGTTTGTTGGTTTTCGAATCAGGTATTCTGATTAAAAGCTTAGGTTCTAAGTCTTCTATATCGTGTACAGTCATTCGGACTAACTCATCCATTCTACAGGCCCCAGAAATACCAAATATTATAGCCACCTAAAAAATAAATAAAGCTATAATCTAAATAGAAATTAAAACCTTGTAAATTACCTTAATCATTAAATTTTCTTTATCTGGAGCTTCCTGGATAAATTTTTCAATTTCTTCCTTCGTTAAAATCTTAGATTTCTTTGCCCTTTAACCTTGAGCTTGCCGTTTCAATAAAGAACGAAGTTTTGAGTATGTAAATATATCTACATTGTGTTGCAAGTGCAAGGGTTGACTTCAGCATTGAATAATTGGCCCATAATGTTGAAGATTTCATCTTTAAACAAAGGTCTAGGAAGTATGCCATTACAACATTTTCTGAGAAAGAACTCAATAAGAAACTTCTGAGCAATAATTCTAATGAAGCAGTATTCACTGCCTCAACCAGCTCTGGAGGAGTCCCAGGAATGGAAATTTCATCATCACTTATCATTTTACTTTCGAGAACACCAGCAATTAAATTTATAAGCGTCAAGTTTGACAATTCAATTTCAATACGTTTCCATAGTAACCCAAGTAATTTTATTGGGAATTTCAAAGCACCATTTATTTGGGAATAAAATTATCGCGTTTTTTTTAAATCAATCAATATCTGTCGAATTTTAAACGATTTGCGGAAAAATAGTATGTTTACCTCGTAGGAAAAGCCACATTCCTGGACTCTGTGTTGCTAAGTCTCGGCTTGCGCCTCGACTTAGCAATCTTCACAGTCGTCCAGGAATGTTAAGCTTTTCCTACCCGGTAAACAATGTACTATTTAAATCAATCTAACTGAGTCAGAATCAACATTTGTCATCCTTATAATAATTGAAAACTACCTCAACCGCAGAATGCTTCTTGCGAGTAAATGACTAACAACGGCAACACTTCATTGAAGCTGAGAATCTTTTCGTCTCCATTCTACACATTGGCGGCACACACCACTCTTTGGAAGGTTTCTATGTTGTTCTTCCGTAAGTTCAACATCCCGATTACAAGTCTTCTTCTTCTTACGGTGTCTATCCGTTCTGGATATTGGCGATCAGCATAGCTATCCTAACTTTACTTACAGCTATTCGGAACAGTTCGGTTGTAGAAGTATTGTAGAAGTATCTCTCATAACATGGCCAAGATATTCTAATTTGCGCTCTTTGATTGTGTTAGTGATCTCGCATTCCTTGCCCATTTTACGTAGTACCTCAATATTAGTCACATGATCCACCCATGAAATTCGTAAGATGCGTCTGTAACACCACATCTCGAAGGCCTCGAGCTTTCCTAAAGAAGCTTCAGAGAGCGTCCATGCATCTACTCCGTATAATAATGTAGAAAATACATCTCATTTCAATTTCTATAAATTTTGAGAGTTTATTTCGCCAATATTTATCAGACAGAAAACTACATGCTGCTATCTGTCTATTCCTTTTACCAATTCTATAATTTTTATTTGTCTTGAAGTTTTCGTGTTGTGTAATCCAAATTTTAATTCATATATTTAAAAAAAGGAAATTATTTTTTTTGTTCTTGTATTGAAGTTGAGGATGGTCTTCTGTAATTGACTGAAAATTTTGAATTGACTGAAAAAGTGCATTGTCAATAATATAAATATATCAGATGTGTATTAATAAAAAACTAGTTGTCAATCGATATTATTTAAATCATGAATGTGTTGCTTGTGTGAGTCCATTTCAAATAGGTAAAGAAATAATAAATAAGACTTACTCACAATCAATTTAATTTAACTATCAGACGACCGGTTTCGCTTTCTACAATATGCAAAGCATCCTCAGGTCTCGATACAAAGTTAAACAAATGCTGAAATAATAAAAACCCATATTAGGGTATTGTCTAATAACGATAAACAAAGTAGGTGTTGTAAATTACAATAATTATGCCAATATTACATGTCTGTGGTTTTATTTAAATGAGTAAGTTGAATAAAAAGGTATAAAATTTTTAAAAAAGTTAAACAGACAAGGTAAGGCCCACAATTTGTTATAAAATAGTCTCTTCGATTGTAATAAATTAATAAATGAGCAAATAAATAAATAAAATAAACATTACTTACATGCCGGTACTCTATTAATAGATGGATGGTAGAACATGGTTGAAACTACTTTATATTGTTGAATGGAGAACTCAATTCTATCACTGCAGTTGTTTGACAGTAAACGGGAAGTTCTTGAGGAGATAGATTTGATCCAATGAATTAGAGATATGTGTGAGATTGTTTGTTAAATGTAAGTGATGTAATATACTATTGTTGTATTAAAGGCTATTTATACTTATTCCAGAGATATATTTTTGAAATGTGTGTTATTTATTGAGTAATTGTTTTTTTGAAGGTGACAGTTTTATGACAATGAATAGGTGTAGATGTAAAGATTGTGTGGGTGTGCAATTATTTTCACAACTTGTAGTTATCAAATTACTTTGATAAAGTTCTATTGGCAATGAGTTAATTATTGGAATAGTCAAGTAAATAAAATGTTAAAATACAGACAATTAAGGATAATTTAAACACACTAAAACAGAAAACACTTAGAAGGGACGAAACAAACATTGAATTTAAAAGGGGGGAAGGACTTTATTGTACTACATCATAGTCTTGGGCACAATGAGTTTTTTTATGTTGTATCTATTAGATTTTAGTGGTAAATTTTGACAGATGTAGGTTAGCATGTGACAGTTCTTCTTCTGTTTCTCAATGCTGTAAGTTAAGTTATCTAGTTTCATGAAATATGCTGTTATTAATGAATGTCTATAAAATTGTTTCAATTTAGATATCAAAAGTAAATAGATGTGGTTAATATTGGCATACTTTAACAATCTTTAATTAATCAAATTTAATGTAACAATATGGATAATTGAAATACATCTTACAATATAACATAACTAACTCAATCTAATGTCCAAATAACTGAACAATTTAAATTAAAGTAATTCCTTGGCAACTGAACATGTACATTTAATAATCAAATGTATAAAAAGTTTACAAAGCATTTTATTTTTTATTTGAAATTCAATTATTGAAGGCTTTATAATTCAGTCAATTTCTTGAGCCCATAAATTAATTACCATCAATAATTATCCATTGGTTGATTTGTTCTCATATTAGTATATTAAATATTAATATATCAGATTTTGAAAAAAATATCTCTAATACTTAAAAAATACCCTGACAGATAACTCATACCTACAACAATTTCACTTTGTCAACTTTGTATCGAGACCTGAGGATGCTTTGCATATTGTAGAAAGCGAAACCGGTCGTCTGATAGTTAAATTAAATTGATTGTGAGTAAGTCTTATTTATTATTTCTTTACCTATTCAATATTATTTAAATGCAGCAAGGTTTAGACTACTAATTTCAATCGTGTAGCTATAAGTATCTTTTACTTTATTTTTCAGGAGGGAAAATCATTACCTGAACTGAAACAACTGCTTGTGTACCGAAAAAAGAATAGGGGTAGTGTGACAGCGATAGCTACAAGACTGGGTAGACCGAGTCCGATCGTTCCCCAATGGTTAATATTAACTGACAAGGATATGCTGCCACAACCTGATAGGGTGGCCTTCCCCAAGCCTCCGAAAGCTCCAGACGGCAGTCTTCTGTACGAGAGGGTACCTAACAAACCAGAAGCTGAGAAAATACCTTTGAATAACATGTCGCCGTCGCTGAAGAGACGCGCTTATGATGAGATGAACGGAATGGACAGTAAGTATTTTTATTTTATTTTTATAATAATTTTTAAGTAATTTTATTTTTATTTATTTATAAGAAATTTTTATTTTGTAAGACAACTATCAATAAGTACATCAGTTGTTTACCAAGTATTGTATAATAACTATAGTTTATTTTTATGAACGAGAGAGTAATTAGCATAATTTTAACTGGTACTTCCGACCACTCCATGGGCGTGCTCAAGATTAATTGAAAAATTACTTTGAATAATTTTAAAAAATAAATGAATTATTTCAGTGTTATAAAGTGTTATGTGTATGTAAACAAAAGTGACCTCTTTTATCACACACACTATATTAGAACTGACTGGCCTACATTAAAAAGGGTTTTAAAAAATTCACATTTTTTTTAATTTTTAAAAATTACAAAAGAGAAAAAGAGTTTTTAAAACCGTCTAAGGTATGTTAAATAGATGAATAAAAATATTAATATAAAACTTACAGCACTTGTTACAAATCCAAATCAGATTCAGAAGATGAACTTTCAGATCCAAGATTTATAATAACTGGCTCGATCATTTTATCAGTAATATTGTCCAGCTTCCACATTTTTTCCTCTTCTTTAATAGTGTGATTTACTGCCTTTACGGCCTCCAAAAACAACTGTTTAACATCATGAATTTTAAAAGTGGTATTTTTTCTTGAAACTTCACTCTTTATCTGTGCCCATACCAGTTCAATCAGGTTTAATTCACAATGATATGGTGGGGATCTAAGTACTGTCATTCCACGATTTTTGGCAATTTCATCAATTTCGTATTTTTTAAATTTTTCTTTATGAAGGGCACACAACGAATAAAGTTCCTTTCTTATAGATCCGGGATGGTACGTAATATTTTTTGAACTCAGCCAATTCTGCAAGTCTTTTTTTAACCACTTAGTTGTGGGCAGTCCTTCTATAAGTCTGGAGTGATAACTTGCATTATCCATTACTATTACACAGTTCTTAGGAAGAAGATCTATCATTTGTTCGAACCATTCTTGAAAGACATCAGCGTTCATGTCTTCATGGTAGTCACCGGTACGAGTTGATTCAAAAGTTAATAAACCACCTTCAACAAAACCGTCTGAACTGGCAATGTGTACTATTATCAGCCTGCGTCCCTTTCCTGATGGTGGGTTTAAACCAGTAGATAAGTTATTTACAAAAACGTGCCTTTGACTTGTAAAAGTTTCATCCTGCCAAAATTTATTTGGTGTATGACCCTCGTTGATCCATGTTTCATCAAGATAAAATATTTTTCTTTTTTGGTTTCTCATTTCCTTTATGGTTCTTAGAAAATGTCTTCTCCATATGACAATATCGCTTCTTTCTAATAAAATAGACTTTCTGGGATTCTTTTTCCAGCGCAAGTCTATTTCTTTTAAAAGTTTCCAGAACGTACTTCGACTCATTTCTGGGTAATCCTTATCATCTCGAACTGAGACAAGAACTTTATCCAATGTTGGAAATTCTTGTCTAAAGAAGAATTCATGCACTTTCCGTCGAAGTCCTTCTTTAAAATGATATTCTATTTGAAATTTTGGTTTCCCTGGAGCATTACGTGGCATTTGAAAACTACCACATTTCTCTTCTTTAATAACTCTGTAAATCGTAGATTTCCCAACACCAAGTGTACTGCTAACTAACTCAACGGTCTCATCAACACTTTCACATAAACGTTTGTCTGTAAATGATTTAAAACAATTAAATATTAATGTTTTTTCATTAACTGTTAAAGGACCAATTTTTCGGCGTTTACACGGCACTTCCAAATTTTCCATAACACTGGTATACACAATAAACTGCACCTTGCAACTGAAGTACCTACTTTTAGTGAACTGTTAAGAATTTTGAATGCGCCACTTGGACCTTCCTACAAAATGGAAAAACCCACTATCACATTTTCTGTGGAATAAGTTTAGAAGGTAATTATCTAGTCAATTACTGTCGTAGATTCCTGGAATTAAAGAATTAAATGTTTGATTGTTGAAACCCTTACTTCGTGGAATGCACTCATTTCAGATAAAATAAAACGTTTTATTTTATCTAAAGAATTAAACTTTATTTTGCAAATAGGTCGGTACTTATTAAACTTTTATTGGTTATATATAACCAATAAAATAAACATCTTACATTTCTTGCAAATTCATTAGTACCTGTTAACCTCCATCACTCCGACACAGGCAACCTTATTTAGGGATTAGTAACCCTTACAACTATTGTATTCTATTCTGCTCCAACCTTTATACCTGGTGGTCATACTCAATTTAAAATTGTTTTCCTATATACTTCTGTAAACTTGTTGACAAATATCTGTTTTTCATTGAGACACCCGTATTAACAGTTTAGGGATTTGCATACATAATTTATTGTTTTATTACTCTCTCATACATAAAAATACACTATAGGAGGCAAATTTACTAGAATATTTACTTAGTTTACTAAACGCGTCTTTGTTTAAAAAGCAAATAAATCTGAAGATCTGTGATATGTAAGGTATAATCTAAAAATGTTTTTATTTATCGGAAATTACATCTTAGGTGGAAAGACCTATTACAAGAAATTAGTCATGATTAAACAAATGTCCATACACTTATATTTATCTTTTAGCTCTTTGTCGGGTACCAAAACAAAGAATAAATATATTAAAATTGTAGTAATTACAATCTTATGTTGTTAACAGTTTTTCTCGTCGAAATTAAAATCAAACACTCGCCACTCTGACAAGAAGCCTTAAGGTACGCTCGCACTTAAACGAACCGGCCGACAAACAAACGCGTTACGACGATCGGCAATTTAATGTCTTTGTGTGTTTAAAAGATTCAGCGACACTTTATGTAAACGAAACACATCGATTCACACCGAATCACGCGGAAAACTCGGAATAGAATATTTTCGCGGTTGGTGTGTACCGGTGCCTAACGCGGTGTACATGCCTAAGAGTTACTGCTAAGCGTTCTTCTTGCGGAATAAGAGTTTCTAAATGTTATATTTTATTTTGTTAGATTAGTTGTTACAATATATAAGAGTTCTTGATATTTTTCCGTAAGTCATGCTGAAATATTGTGACAATTTATCTTGCCGACCGATTAAATCATTAAATAAAGCAGGAAATTCAATTTCCTTTACATTCATCTTTCTTAATTCATCCTCCACATTGTCCTTTCGATTGTCTGTTTTGTCATTTTCTATGACGTTACCGGTGTAGGTGTAGTGACGTAATCATTAATTTTTTTTTAAATAGAAATCGGTATAATGCGATACCTCATTTAAATGAGAATTTAATTATCTATTTAACGACATTACATTTTTAACTAAAATATTTTTTTAAGGGTACAAAAACAATTGTTTTTAATTTAAATTACAACTAATGATTTAATTAATAATGTACTTTAAAGTAACCAAATTATGCATAATAATTATTTTAAATTAAATGTTCGAAATGCCATCCATCGGTTTCTTTACAATATGCGAATTTACGGACACATTCAACAAGTACATTTCGGATGACTTCTGGAGTAATTAGACTCATTTCATGCCTAATTCTATCTTTCAAGTCCTGTAAGTTTTGGGGTCTATTGACATGAACTTTTGATTTTATGTAACCCCACAGGAAAAAATCTAGAGGTGTTAGATCTGGCGACCTTGCTGGCCACTCTATAAAACCTCTTCTTCCGATTTCGAACATTTAATTTAAAATAATTATTATGCATAATTTGGTTACTTTAAAGTACATTATTAATTAAATCATTAGTTGTAATTTAGTTGAATTTAAATTAAAAACAATTGTTTTTGTACCCTTAAAAACATATTTTAGTTAAAAATGTAATGTCGTTAAATAGAGAATTAAATTCTCGTTTAAATGAGGTGTTGCATTATACCGATTTCTATTTAAAAAAATTAATGATTACGTCACTACACCTACACCGGTGACGTCATCCCTACTCCATGTACGTTATAACGATGGGTATTTTATATCGACCTGTTTCGGGATTTCCCTCAAAACTCGAAGTTCTCGAAATAATGATAATATTCCATAATTTAGCCGTTCACTGTATAATTCTCTTGATTGATTTTTGTACCCAAGTACGTGAAGAAATCTATACGTTCACGGATGTAGTTGTTTACTTTCATATTAATTTCATTGTCTTGTGTTCTTTATACTGTCATATATTTGGATTTTGCTGCATGGGTTTTAAGGACTTTTTTGTGCTTCATGATCAATGTCCCGTAGGACTTCCGAAGACGTTGCTTGTTCCAGCTAATGCTACAGCTATATCATCTAATTATGCAGTAATTTGTACTGATTTTTTGTTTATTTATTCAGTTACATTGTCATACCACTTTCATTTGATTCCATTGTTTGTCTGCAGTATGTTTATATCTGTATATGTTGAGTTTTCTCCAGAGCATTTTGGTATTCTTTTTTCTTTATTTCTCTTTGTATAGGAAAGAATGTCCACAGAAAAAAAAAACAATAGAAAATGAGAATAGAAACAATAAAGAAAAAGACAAATTGGAATAAAGCCAATAATACAAATAAAGCAAAACGAACTATTAAGTTTATTTCGAATTAACATTATAATTTAGGGGTATTACTGTGAATTATTTCTAAAATATTATGATTTCATACAAACTTTGTATTATTTTAAGTATAAATTTTATATCTTTAACAAATCAGTCATTAATATATTATATTTTTACTGGCTTCTATTCCGACTTGGATTGGGATGATGGTAAGTACAAAAACGTTCAATAACTAAATTTATAATTAGATAAATATGTTCTAAGCTTAAATGTTTTACGTCATACAAATACTACGTCATATTAGATTTTTTCGATTGAAAATACCCATTATCTACCATGCCCTATATTAAATATTCACTTAATACTATTATGGATGTGAATTTACAGTCTTCTAAAAAAAAACAATGCAAAAAACAAGCTAAACGTACACCCCACAACAGACTCAGTCATTACCATGTCAGTGCATCATATACAACTTTCACAACGACCACACCAGACTCAAACCTATGCAAATACAAGCATCAATGAGGATACCAATTAGTGGCAAAGTTCTACCGGACTTTTTAGTGCAGCAGTCAACAAAGTCAAAATAGCCATGTTAGTGTCCAAAATCCGTAATGGATATACACTATAAGATGATGGGCAGTGTTATCTGGATAGTTTGTGTAATAAGTGGTGCAATGTGTAATATTAATATATCATAATCAGCCTATAGAACTACCTAATTATGCATTCAACCACCTGCAAGCACTAGTGATAAAAGTAATGATGAAAACTTATGAACTCATAGTGGTAGCAGTATACTGTCTTCCACTATACAATATAAAAAAGGAGAACTTCAATGACTTCTTTGAGACCCTCGGACACAAATTCATAGCAGGTGGAGAATGTAAAAGAAGTGAATTACTCAGCACTATGCAAGAAAGAAGCACTCCTTCCTCTCAACAGGTACATCTACATATTGACCCAACAGATCCCAACAAAACTCCTGATATATTGAACCTTCTCATCCCAATGGTATTTTATCCAACTACATGGAAGTTGTATTAAGTTACGATCTATCGTTCTATTTTTTTCTCATTGTTCGATTTGAAGGTTGGCGATCAACAATTTTCAACAGTTAAACATGAAATGGCGTCACTTAGGATTTTGGATGATGTTTTGCCGAGCCATAGCGTAGATCCTTGAGCCAGGAATTCTGTCTTCTCTATTGACCTCTTTTCTTGAATTCCTGAGTTCACTAGTGTTCCGTTAATTGATATACCTAATTGATGTCTTCTAATGCCTCTTTAAACATCTTATCTGAGCTCATACGGGGCCTGCATAATGCATGCAACAAATTTGCATTAAGAGAAAAAATGCAACGTGTAAATGACTTTTTTAAAGAAATTACAAACGAGATTCGAAAAAGGGTTACTGTAAATGTTCAAATTGATGCTCATTTTTATCAATGCATTTACTGCAACGGAGTTTCTGCAACTGCAGTTTCGCAACGGAGAGGCAGGTCTGACAAAGCTCGTCAAGCTGTCCGCGAAGATTTCCAAATTCTTCTTCAATTGCAGTTCTGAGGCCGGGAAGGGTGTGTGGTCCTCTTGCAAAAACGTAGTCCTTGAGAAGGCCCCACAGAAAGAAATCACAGCGTGGCAGGTCCACTCAACGATTCCTCGGCTGCCTATCCATTATCCAAAATGAACATTAAGGTACTATCGCACATATGACATGTATCGCACATATAACGTGTTCTCATTCTGAAAACGGGTCTACTCGACGACCACATGCTATCATGACACCTACACAAATGTCTGAAGCACGAACATGCTTCGTTTTAATCTTTTTTGACAGCGTTGTCAGACTTTTCGAGAGCGTTGCCTGACTTATACTGACCCCCGTATTAAAAAGTAGAGGAGATGGTACAGATTTTTGCCGTACTCCACCTCTTAGAGGTATTTAAAAATCCCAAATAATGTCACAATATACAAATAATAAGTTTACTACCTGTTATCTCCAAAATACTTTGGCCTTATACAGAAACACTCAATTGTTCAACAAGTTCACAGAATTATTCATAATATGAACCAAAGATTAGAAGACAATCAGTTTTGCACCATCGTATTTCTCGATGTCAATTAAGCCTTTGACAAAGTGTGGCAAATTTAATGAAAATACATTGGACGGTTTTACCATAAAATCTGATGTACCACAAGGAAGTTTTATTGGCCCACCCATATATGAACTATACACAACAGAGCTCACTGTTCCTAGAGAAACCAATATAGGTAAATTTGCCGATGACACTATTATCCCCACAAGAAATGTAAATCCAATGAGACCTTCCACGCCTCTTTAAAGTCACTTGGATCAAATACAAACATGACAAAAACGAAATCTGTACAAGTTATACAATTCACCTAGACAGAGAACTAACTTGGAAAGAACACATAACCAAATGCTTGGTCTCTTGGTGCCCTTCCTTCATATCATGCGTTGTTGCAGATTGCTATTGCATTGTTTCCCACATTTTTTCTCATTGCTGATGTTATTTTCTCATTTCCAAGTGCTTTCACATTTTTTAGTCTTCTTGTTGGTTCTCCCAGTTCATCGTATGTAATACTGTCTTGTCTATCTTCCATTTTAGAATTTTTTTTATAATATATAGTATATTTTTTTATAATTTATAGTATAGTATATATTTTTATAATATATAAAGTACATAAATGGGTGATTTTTCATCTTGTTTTTTTGGAGTTCTGTCTGCAAAAAAGGGATACACATAATTATGTGTTTCAAAAACATGTACATAAGAACTATACAGTCTATCTGCATAAATTATGGACTTTGGAATGACTTTTTTTGATGCTAGATGAGGATTTTTTTTAAACTGTCACTGGAAAAAACTTGATATATTTATTAAAATTTTATAACCCAAAGATCTTATGTGACAAAAGAAACAATTCTTGTAACAAAGAAATTATATTCAAAATTAATGTAACACATGTAACAAAAATTGTAGAAAATTTTATCCATTGAGGTCTAAGCACACAGTAACTCTTATTTGCAAGTCTGCAACAAACAAACACCACTTTTGCATCATTTTTTGAGTTTTTCTATTCCTCTTTTCGATTGAACATCACAATGGAAAAAACGTTTAGTGGTTGGCTTTATACCATACTTACATTAAATAAAAAAAGTAATATAAAAACTTTTTTGTGGGAAGTAGATTTATGTAAAATTATCAAAAATGGTTTATTTACAATTCAAAACGTTTTCAGTACTATCGAACTATCACCAGTGAAACCTGAAAGCAAGTTATTCCACTTAATTTTGAAAATAAAACCAAAAGGGCACAATTTTTGTGGTAATAACTGTGGTAATACAAACATAATAAGTAAATTACATTTAATCATGTTTAAATGTTTCTTGTTCAGTTTCATTTTCTTCTTCTTCACGTGCCATCTCCGCTACGAAGGTTGGCTATCATCATGGCAATTTTGACCCTGGAGGCTGCCGCTCGGAACAATTGTATGGAAGTGCAAGCAAACCACTCCCTGAGGTTTCTCAACCGCGACATTCTTCTCCTACCTATGCTGCGCCTACCTTCAATCTTTCCTTGCATAATTAGTTGTAACAGTTGATATTTATTCCCACGTGTAATATGTCCCAGGTATTGTAGTTTCCTCATTTTAACACTCAATACGGCCTCCTTTTGTTTGTTCATCCTGTCTAATACAACTTGGTTAGTTATCTTATCCTTCCAGGAGATTTTTAACATTCTTCGGTACGCCCACATCTCAAATGCCTCCAGCTTACCCATACATTGCTTATTTAGTTTCATTTTAATGTCTAGTTATTGATTAAAATATAAACCTTAATTTATTAATGTCTTCGTTTCTAGGTGTCGCTCTGAGTGCTCCGCCACCGACGAAAAGAATAACAAAGGAACCAATCCAAGTGACGCGACCCGAACAATTCCAAGCCCTAATGGCCGCTCAAATGTTACCTGCTCAACCGTTACCCCGTCACATCGCACAAATCAACGGCAAACCTAAAATCGCACACATGACGAGAACGGGTTCAGGTAGGAAACAAGTCATAAGTTGGATGGACGCCCCAGACGATGTTTATTTTAGAGCTACAGAGGCTAACAAGTAAGTAGAATTTTAGATGTTTATGTCATTAGACTGTCATATTTACTCATACAATGAATATGTAGGCCCTACTCGGATGTTTAGTCATTTCTTTTCTGTGGTGATAAGAACAAACTACTCCTGTTATCTAGATTTTTATAAAACGTGACATACGTAGTTTCATTTGCATCTTTAAATTGGGCTGAAGAAATATTGTATGTCAAGTCATGATTCCAATGTTAGCTAATTTCTAAATTGCTGCATTTAAATGATATTTTTTTAGAGGTACAGAAGTTGGCAATACTTTTTTTGGTGACGGTCATTTTGACAGCTGTCAAGTTAGTGATTTATAGTTCGGTTTGCCATGTCAACATAAATGCGCTGACGCCTGAACAACTCTTTCCAATTGTGCAAATTTATTTCGGAAGCATGGCTCTGTTCGAAGTACTTATCGCGCCCTACGTTCATTGTATGGTCGACATAATCCACCATCACAGCATTTAAGTCGATTGACGATGGAATTTTTTTGCACTGCGTTTACTCTAAATGATTACACGCGTCCATAGAGACATCGCAGAGTACACAATTTATTTCTGCTGTAGAGCGTAGTATAGAGGAAGATCCGATTGAGCCCATCTGCCATAATATTCAAAAATAGAAGTTATGTTCATCCACTTTACGGTAGATTTTGCGAAAAGATCTTTGAAATCCACTAGGAAACTATGGAGGACCTGTTGATAGCAACTCCGAGTTGCTATCCGGTGTTGCTGATTTGGTTTTCTTGGGACTTGCTATGGTCCATGTCCCAGCAGCCATTTTTGTCTTTTTTCTCATTTTTCTTTGTTGGTGATTGAATTTTAATTAATTTTATTTATAGTTTATAAGAAGAAAGTTTTAATTATATATTTGTAGATTTGTACACACGCGGCATCTACATATAAAAATATCTAAAGTTGCATTTGCTGCCCCACTCTTTCATATTTTAGAAGCAGTAATAGCGCTGACATGACCACTCTACACAAATACGGAACTAAAATATTGATCTGGTTCTTTTTTATAACATGTATATAACCTTTGCCGATGCTAAAAAATGACAGTGAAAGATGCTTCTATATGCGTCTATTATATTCTTTGCATAAATATACATAGTTGTATTTAGAAGTGACAATAATAATCTTAAGCTCATTATATTTTTAATTATTTTCAGAAAAATTAGACGGCAAGTTACATTAGCAGAACTAAGGCGAGGAGCCAGAAAACCATGGAGGCAGTTGCGTACCAAAATGGACGACCTGCAAGTGGTTGTGCTGGATTGACAGTGAATCCAAATCTACAAACTGTAAATTAACTTCGCCAAGTGCTCATTGTGCCGAGGCACAGATTTTAAGCGGACATTTTTATAGAAAATAGGCCAGTCTGTGGATAGTTAATACGCGAATCAGTTCGGTTCATCTTGTTTTTGATAAATAAAATCGTTTTGTTTAATGGAATCTAAAATGAGTTGATGGATAATTTTTACAACTTTAAAATGTATTATGTAATTTGATTGTTTATTAGGGTGGTCACTTTTGTTGTTAAATTTGGTGACTTTATTTGTTCTAATTGACAAACAAGTCACGTAATACATTGTTTTATTTATTGTGATGTTTCGCCTTTCCTCAAGTTATCTTGTTTATATTTAGTGAACTGAGTTATGCATTATTGTGATAAAATGTCATGTCCTTTACCAAATGCCGTACAGATCAGGTAAGTCTAATTCTTTCATTGGTCAGTCACGTACTGGATCATTTACAAAGTTGCTTCATCGATCATCATGATGTCTAGTCTTCTCAGTCCATTGTTGGACCTAAGTCTTCTATATCTTCCACTTTAGTTGATTTTGCAGTTCTTTTTGCTAAATTTTTTAAGATCAACCTTGTCATATTTTGTGTGGTCATTTTTAAGGACTATTAGCTCTCGTACTCAACGTTTTAACAAATATATATTTGTAAATAAGTACTACAGTAACAACTAATTGTTTTTGCAAACTAAGTATAAACATAACCCTCTGAAGGAGTGGTTAAGTATATAACCAAACGTAACGTAAAAAAAACCCAAACCTAAACCAAATTGTAATAAAAAAAAAAACGTGAAAATTATGTTCCTCAGTGAAAGCTGTTGATAATTGTAATGACTTTATAATAATTAAAACTTTATTTCGTAATGTATATACATATATACACTCGGTAACTACTACACCTTTATCACGGTTGCAGAGTATAATATTTGAAATTGACAGTGGTTTTGCTCTTAACCAAATTGAGCACATTTTACTACATATTTTGTAAAGAAAATAGAAGTCACACAAAAAAGGTTTTGTTTGTGATAACCTGAATTGGAAGCGAGTCGCTTCTTATGAAATCTAAATGACCGATTTCAAGAATAGATTGACTTTGTGAAACCACTGGTGAAGAACAAACATTATAGTTCGGAACTTTCCAAACAATTGAATATAACTACAAGCAAACTGTTTTCTTAGTTAAATATCTCTACCCAGACATCTTTCTCTTCATAATGCTGCGCATGCCCAGAATTTGTCTTTGCTCAATAAATTGTAATAATTATAGTCACTTTAAAATGTCCCAGTCGCAGTAGTTTTATCTCTTTTAGGCCAATTAAGTTATTTTTTTTACTCGACACGGGTTTGACAGTTGAAAGGTGTGTATGATATATTACAAAAAGACTCATCTACGGGTTCATCATTTTTTTAGTGGAACTATTTTTAAATAAATAATCAAAATGTCATTATTACAACTCATTATTTTGCCCGTAACTTAAAAACTTGTTTATTTAAGCTTATTTTAGAGCCCACTAAAAACGTGCAGATTTTACCTTAAGAAATATGTAGAAGTAATTGGCTACAAAACTCTTGACAAACAATACGGGATTTGTATACACTTTTGACTTGTTTAAATTGTTATATAAAATTTTCCAAACGCATTATTTGTTAATTCCTACAGTTTTAGGAACCATATGAATATTTAACTGACCAGTCAGATAAATCAAGATTTTGAATTTTTCAACCATTTAACATTCTTTTACGTGGAACGGCATTCATTGTCTTCGTAGTCATTTTAAACTTAGAACAGCAAAAGAGCCATGTGGTTATTATACATGTAATTTAAAAAAAAGTATGTAAAAAATAAGTATTTGCCGAGAAACTAACAAGATCACCATTCCAACATATAGTAGAATATTAATTTTTACTTTAGGTAACATTTTTAAAGTGATTGCAAAAGTTTGCTGTAGTAATCTTGTAAAAAATGTAATGAAGTTACCACAAAAAGCTTCTACACTTCTCGGAGACACTAGGCAAATGAGAACCCATTATAAAGCCGACGAACCATCACGTGAAGAAACAGTCTCCTTGAAGTCCAATCATGACAACAACAAGGCGAGTTACCAACCGCTAATGCATTGAAGCGGTAAATTTAAAGATATGATATAGTAAGGAGAAATCCAGTCTGTACGAACCATTATATGAAAAAAAATAGTTGCTTGGAAACAATCATTTTACTTTCAGGGAATGGTTCGAAGAAAAAAAAACAAACAAGTGAGGTCGATCCTTCCATATCATAATATAAGTGTCTACGTTGTAGCTGGTTAGCCAGCCACAGGTACAGATTTAATTCAATTTCCACAGTCCAAGGTTCATATTTTGGAACTGAGCAATTAGTAAGAATTATATGAAGCAAATTAATTTAAAATTTTATTAAAGTATTTCATAAAAAATTATTTTCTATGTTTTATAACAATGATAAATGAATCAATAAAAAATTAGTTGAATATCAGTCATGATTTAAGTAAAAAAAGAAGAAAATGTTATTTGAAGTTATTTAAAAGTGAAAATGTATACAAAAACACACCGTAGGAGACAATTTTAAAGTAAAAAAAAAAGATAAAGCCTAGTTTTGCAATATTAATTCATGATAAATTTGGCTCAAGTTACTAACGTTCGTTCTCTTATTCAGAGCGTTGTTTCAGTATTGAACACATTTCCAAAAACTGCCTTTTCACGAGATTGCAATCGTTGCCAAGAATCTTAACTTCGGTAAAGTCCACTTTGTGATTTGTATTGATAGCATGCTGAGCAAGAGCGCAACTATGCTTGGATAAGTCAATATCACTACGAAGTGTCGTAAGACGCCCTCTCAGTGATCTCCCTGTCTGACCGATGTAATATGAGTCACACTCAGCATAAGGTATCTGATAGATGACATTGACTTGTTTTAAAAGGGACAAGGGTGTTTTGGTTTTAGATAACAAATTTCTGACCGTCTTGGCATTCTTAACTGCAAATTTAACAGGCACGTTATTATGTTTGTGCAGTTTAATAACCTTCTTTGTCTTTTTTCTCCACCTTTTGACCGAAAAACCCACCACTCTTCAAGTGATCCTTAATTTATATTGGATTAACGGTCCTATTCCTTCTCTCTCTCTCTCTCTCTCTCTCTCTCTCTCTCTCTATATATATATATATATATATATATATATATATATATATATATATATATATATATATACAGTGGGTGGTCAAATTATTAGGGACAGTAATATGATTTCTTAATTTTCTAGTTTAACTGAATTTTTTTAGCAAGTTGTTGGCTTTAAGGCTTGCATCTATTTTTTGTATAGAAGAGTGTGGTATTAGGTCACAAAAATAATGAAGTTCTGTTGGTAAAAGCCATTTATTTTTTTTTTCGCAAAAACAATTGTTACATAAAAGCACTAATTACAATATTTAGTGATGCCACCCTTTGCTGCAAGTACAGCGTCTACACATCGGGGCATGTTCTGATTACAAACATTGAGTTTTAATTTTGGGTTATGATACCATTCTTTAATAAGAGCTTCAATCAACTGCCGCTTCGATGTAATAACATCTTTGGCAATCTCTCGTATGGTTAACTCCCAAATGATCTATGGGGTTCATGTCAGGTGAGTTTCTCGGCCAAGGCAGAACTGCAATATTTTTTTTGGCCAGAAATGCAGTTACACTTCTAGCTTTGTCGCACGGTGCAGAATCGTGCATAAAAAATTAATTTTTTTGGCCAGGGAACTATTCTTTGAGCTGGGGAAGTAGCATAGTTTCAAGTATTCGCTTATACTGGTCCTGTCTCATTGTCTTTTCCACGATGTTTAAGCGTCCCATACCCTTGGCCAAGATTACAGACCACACCATGACACTAACCGGATGTTTAACTCTCTCCACAATGCAATCTGGATGGAAGTGCTCCCCACGACATCGTAGGACGAACGCACTTGTGTCCACCAAAATCTGGAATGTGGATTCGTCGGAGAAGCATACTCAAAAAATGAAAATATTGGCTGTTCACGAATTCCATTCGTTAAAATAAGTTGTACTTACTCAATTCTAGTCTTCAACTGTCATACTTCGGTGCTGCTTGGCCTATTGGAGTCTCTTTCTCTTCATGGCTTCGGTGAATCGTGGTTTTTTCATTGGCCGGCGACCAGATTCTCTTCGGTCAGTCTTCTTCGGACGGGTTCTTCTGGAAACATTAATTCCTTCGGTATTTATCATCGTAGTCAGATGTGCCACACTCTTTTTACGATTTTTGAAATAAATTTCTCTGTTTTTACGGTCAGTACGAGAAGTAATGATCATTTTTCCATCACGGCCCGGTTCCAATGCATTGTTTGAATCAATTTTTATTTTAATTTGATTTACTAAGGACTTTGAAACACCTGCAGTAGTTGCAATTACACTTGAGTAAAGTGTAGAGTGCAGTATAATCGTTTTTATTTCTCCAATTTTCCCCGGAGACAAGTCTACAATTTTTCTCATACGAAAAAAATAATTATGATTTTGAACAACGTTTTTAAATAAAATCGTGTCATCAAAGGCAGCAAAAATGACTAAATAACAAATATTACTTACCTGTTAAATATATCTGACACCAAAAACCTAGCAGAAACATTTTAAAAAATCTGCAGAAACACTTGTAAATATTTTTAAGCCTCACTGCGATAACAGCCGATGACCAACTGAGCTGAGATGCAACAGCAATTATTATTTCATAAGCAGTCTACCAGTGTTGCCGCTTATCAAAAACTTTAATAATTATACCAGAAGAACTGCCAAATATAATATAGATATGAATACCAATTTTTTTTGGTCAAAAAACCATTTAAAGTAGAAAATACAAAAATGTATGTAGTGCCCCTAATAATTTGGCCACCCGCTGTATTGTGATTATCCATATCCTTCTTTAATGATTGATAAAAACTATCACAATCAATAACTGAAAGTACATTCTAAATTTGACAAATAAAATCTTCGGCGGAATGTCGCGCGAATGTGCGTAAATTTAGAAATGTTTCGTTCCACAATAAATTGTAGCTTGTATACTTTTAAAAACGTAACAAAAAAACACGAATACCTATTATGTTGCTGTAATTTTATAAAATTTTATCGTTGTACGAGATAT